AACATTTCCGTAACTAGTTATATCTATTCCCAGATATCTAACCCTTGCTTCCGGCTTTATTATTTTCCCATCAATTTCGATTTTACACCGTAGTGGGTATTTAAATGTCATACATTTGTATTTTTCCGCTGATATTATCATATTGTATTTCTTAGCTGTTGTATTGAAGATATGTGTTAATCTTTAGAGCTCATCTTCTGTCTCGGCGATTAATGCGGCGTCGTCTGCATAACATAATATTTGGATTTCTTTGTTCCCAATTCTGTAGCCCTGACTTTTACGTACTACTTGTATTATTTCGTCCATTAATATATTAAAGAGAAGTGGGCTTAACGAGTCACCCTGTCTCCGCTTTGTACCGGTATACACTGTGTTAGTTTTTCATTTATCTTTGCTTATATTGGATTATGGAGGTAGATGCTTTCGATGGTTTGTATAATATTGATTGGTATGTTCCTTTTATACAGTAGGTGTAAAACGTCTGCGACTTGGATGCGATCGAAAGCCTTTGTCAGGTCTATAAAACATAGATATGATGGCCTTTTCTGTGATTTGTCTTAGTACAAATACGGCGTCTACGCAGGATCATCCGGATCTGAATCCTTGTTGTTCATCTGATAAAGTTGTTAGTTTATTGATTTTGTTGGTTAGGACTTTTGTGGTAAGCTTAAGTGCGGTGTTCAGTAGATTTATACCTCTATAAATGTTGGGGTCTTCTTTATCTCCTTTCTTGACCATTGGTATCATTATGCTGTTTCTCCATGCGTCTGGTATCTTGCAGTGCAATATTAGTTTTTGTATAAGTTTTGTCATCTCTAGGCTTAAACTTTCTCATCCCTATTTTAGAAGGTCGTTGGTTATTCCGTCTGGTCCTGGTGACTTTCTATTTTTGAGTGAATTTATGACTATTTCTACTTCGTGAAAACTGATTTCTATTTCGTCTCTTAGTTCAGGTACGTTATTGTGTTGATTATTATTTTCCTTTGCTTTAAACAGTTCCGTCAGGTATCTTTCCCATTCGTTTGCTGGTATATTATTGTATTCCTTGAAGATATTGATGATAATATTATTTGTGAAGAATCAATAAAATCGGATATTGCAGGTACATATGAAATACAAGTGATTGGAAATTCTAACGATTCTAATTAAGATATTCCTCTGAACCACAGATAAAACGTCCACAGAAAAAACCAATAAGTAAAAATAAGGCAAAAATAGTAAATCCAAATTTATCTCAAGTTATAATAACGGATATTCTTTCGTGCTCAGTAGTAATTCAACATCAGTCTGATTGATATTTAGACAATATTAAAGCCAACCATGTAGGCAAGTCATATATTGAAGTTTTTTCACTCTTTTTGATAAAAAAGTAATTGGGAGTAACCGTCACAATTTTGAAATGAATAACATAGATTTAAAAAAATTATTAACATATGTATATTATCTGGTTTACACTCTGCTTCAAGTTGATATGCATTGGTCAAAGGATGAGGATAAAGAAGTGCATACTATAAGAGAAAGCATGAGCCGACATAGATTTATAATTTTAATTTATAATAGTGAAGAAACCGCTACCTCAGTGTCAGTACATGGGCGTCAATCTAAATTTGCTTTACCAGATGAAACCAGATTCGACAATATTGGCCACATTATAAAAAGAGACGATAGTGCAAAAATGTAGGATGTACAAAAGTAATACTATTTATTTATCTAAAAAGTGTAGAATGCATCTACATCCCGAATATTTCGAAAATTTTTACCTTAAAATTTAATTTACGTTTAAGATATAATATGTTCCTTTATTAAAAATTGTACTGTTTTCCTTAAAAATGAGAAAAAAAATCTTTCTGGTTGTAATTTATTCCTAATTTGTGTTTTTAATCCAATCTAATAAATTAATTGTCAAATTTCTCTTTGTATATTGAGCGGCCGTTAAGGGTTTAATACTATATAAAGAATAAACTGGCCTTACTTAGCTCAAAACTATTTTAAAGTTAATAATAAAGTATTTAATAAATATATTCCCAATAATACACTACGCCTATGTACATTGTATAAAATCTGGAAGATATCATATTTCATAAACTTCAATAAGCTAAGATATCATATTTCTCTAATTAACATTCTTTCTAAAAATGTAAATATATATAGACCAGCAAAATATTGATAATTTTACCGATGTTCCAAACTATTCTATGAACTTGTCTCACTATACACTCGTGAATCGCACCAATTTATACTGTTACGGGGGCAAATTTAACTTAGATGGGTTACAAATTTACATATTTACATGGGCGAAGCATACAGAATAAAAATGACCCCGGTAAGAATTTACTAATGAAATTTTTCATTGTTGCCGCTACCGTTTAGTTCAATTTGTAGATTAGTCACCTTTAATTGAAAATTGTCCGACTATAAAAACTGTCTTAAAGGAAATAATCAGCCAGTGATACCAGGTACTTTTTATTAAAATTATTCAAAGTAAAAATAAACGATTTTTTATTAATAAAAAATTTGTTTTCATGATAAACTAAAAAATTGTAAATAAATGAAATTATATGTTTTATGGTTTAGCTAATTGTCATATTAGTCTTCTTTTAAATGCAATTAATTTTAAAATTTAATCAACATTTCAAAAGGTTTGATATTTCATTTTGACATATGACAGTAGGAATTATTCTTTTTCTAACAATTGGTACATAACCATAAATTTGAATTCTTTTGTTTAAAGGTTAACCTCAATGTAAGCTTTATTGAAAAATCTAGATATTTTAATTTCAACAATAATTTCAATTGCTATAAATGTCCCAAACATCTGGAGCTTGTTATAAATAATAAATATTTAATAATATGTATAACCCGACAAGCGAGAGCTGGCGGGTTGCGCGTAGAACAAATTCAAAAGTGGAAGGGATTGCTCATTTCTATTGCAGTCGGCTAGGAGTTCACATCGTGTATAACCGTTTAAGTACCTATACTATATACCTATAATCGCGATTAAGTACCTCTCCTATCTCTCTTAGAATAATTCCTTTTCTATTTTCGCGCAGCTCACCTGCCAGCTCTCGCTTGTCGGACTATACTGTTTCTCTCTAAACCAGGAGTTTTAGAATTATTTACTTTAAAAAGATTTTCACCCTTTAATATTTTTTAGAAAAGAAAAGCCTTTCTTTCTATCCAGCAAGAGGATTCTTTTAAATGTAGTCCAAATTCAAATAGCTTAGGAACCTTCTTGTTTTTTTGTTGAAATCTATGTAAGTATTTTCTTGATTTCTTTCTGTGTAGTTACCCCTCCCAGTTCCTCCTTTATTCACTTACTTATGACCCAGCTCTCCAACCAAATCAAGAGTGGCTGTTTGCAAAGGTTTCAGTTTGTTTGCTTACCCTATCTCCAGCCCAGTAACTTCTGTCCCCACTTTCCACCCCCTATAAGTGATACCCAATATGGTAGGCAAATTATATCTTTACAAGTTTTGGAGTATGGTTTGCTCATTTGGTCTCCTTCATGTAATAGTGACATCTACAGTATTGAAAGAGATCAAAAAATGCGTTTGAAGCAGATTAATGTTTTCTTCATAAGATTATGAACGGATATATTGAAGATCCAGAGGTACTAAGTTTAATAAGTTTTATTGTTAATACTAGAAAGAACTTGTAATACTAAGACTTTCAACATTCCATTTCATACTACAAACTATGGTCAAAATTAAGCCATTACAAGAATTCTAAGAACTGCAAATGAGTTATATAGTTTGGAGTTATTTGGAATACCTACAACAACATTTAAGAAATCAGTTAAGGTTTTGAGTATGATTACTTAATAAGTTAGGTTTCTAATTAAATTTATTAATTTAATTTAAATTTTAGTTTGTTTTTCTTTTTTTGCAAATTATGCTTTGTACAGGTTGACATTATATTTTTGTAAAAATCGTATATCAGTAAATAAATAAATAAGTTGACTCTCATCATCTATTATTTAGGGTTTATATCTATAAGATAATTATATATGAAATCTTTATGTTTCTTAAAATATTACCCAGCACAACCATTATTTTTATTTGTATGTATATTTCAGTTGTTTAGATATTCACAAATAAATGTAAAGATAGTTCGAACACTCCTTACCATTGAGCTGCACAAAGGCGGTGTCAAATTTCGCAAGGAAGTGGGCATGATACTATGAATAAGAAGATATTGCGCATAAGTCGTGACATCATTGGAGAGTTGCACATTTGAAATGTCAATTTTTTGTATGTATCAATAAATAATATTTAATAAATAGTTTGTAGATATCCTTATGTGTATGATTATTGTAATTATTAAACCTCTCAACTTATTTTCGTCTAGTAATTTCATCACAGAATGCATACAAATCCCATTTAACTTTAACAAGAAATCAAATTCTACTCTCCAATGACGGCATGCGAGAACACGACCGATTTTGTGCTATGGGAAAATCCTATCTTGTTAGTCATAGTATCATGGAAGTGGGGACTAAACCAAAGTTCGTCTACTGCGCCATGGTCATGAGTGTTTGCACTATCTCTAATTATAAGTGTGAAGAATGCCTTATCCAACAAACTGATAGTAAATTTAAATCATTTGGTTCACTACCGACAAAACAAAAAAACGAATCTTAAAAATGTTTATAATCAAAGGCATACTTGGGTGCTGACTGCACATTGGTGAAGGCACCATGTGGCTCACATTTATGGTATCCAAACAGAATGTGTTAAAGAGCCCGTTTTTAATGTGAAAAACTTTTTAGCTTTCAAATTAATACCATTCATTCGTGGAGAGAAATAAATATTGTGGTGTATGTATTTTTGAAAGAATTGAATTTAGAATAAAAAAACTAATACTAAAATTATTGCTTAACTGATGAACAGTGGTTAAAATACTTTATAACAACAAACATGCAAACTCAAATCTTATCAGTATATTTACTAATCTACTTAATTCCTAGCAGCAATAAAAAGAAGCTGTAAAAATTTAAATACCTTTTTGGTCATTGACTGGTAAGAAGGTGATGGTAAGGTAGTAGAAACACTACTCTTCAAGGGATATTTTTCCATAATTACACTGCACACTAAAAAAATATACGGTCAATAGTGAAACCCTAAAAAATATAATCCATTTCTAGTTGATTAGACAAAGTGAAAGCTTAATAGAGGATCTTTTACATATATTCTTACCATTGTAGAAGAAGGTTTTTCACTCCAGAAAGTCTCGTTTTTCAGCCATTTTATTGAATCCCCGAATCTGCGTTGATAACTTAAAAAATTGAATATAATTAATTAGTTAATTGGTGTTTTTTATCAGCTCCCAATGTTGAGATTGCAGGCGAGGTGTCACTTATGAAAGTGTCACGTATCATTCCGTCAATGTCATTAGATATTAGATATGTCCATGAGATGTCACTAATCATAATCAATCATAATTTCGAATGCATTATCTGTGATTTGAATATAAAATGTCTATTCTATTCATGAACCATAAACTGTTCAGAAAACTTTACTGCCAATATAACGTAATATCTGCTAGTTTTAGACATTTACGAGTATTTATTATTATTAGGTAGAACAACGAGAATACAAATATAACAGCAAGTTCTGTTTTTTCCCTAGTATTTGATTTTGTGTTAGTCCCAATCTATTTAAATTTGTGCTGGCTTTAGATCTTTTTGCTATATAAGAGCGGAAAAAATATTTTTGACCAATGAATACAAAGAACAACTGATTTCGTAATTATAAATTCTCGGATATTCTCTATGAAGTATATTTTACGTCATTGAATATTCTTTTCTTTTCCTCGTCATTGTCATTGTCAAAATTTGGCTTTAAAAGTCAATGTCAATTAGCAAATTTAACAATTTTGGAATTTTGTACATTTTTAATTTTGTTTAAAATAGCAAGCGATTAAATGATATACTAAGTAGTCTAGACATTCATTAAAATTATGTTCGATTAATGTCTACAAAAGATCCTTGCAAACCTTATGCTTGTAGAATTCAAGCTTGTTTGAAAGGTGAGGCATAACCTGTTTTTATCAACATTTTTATTACATAATGTTTTTGTTTAGAAAATAGCTTTCAAGAAAAACCTTGCCAGACCGTCATTGAGGATATGCGAGATTGTTGCAGGAAGTGGAAGGACAAGAGTTTCGTATGTGGAGGTATTGATACAACAAAAAAACGAGAAAAAGGTAATAATGAACAATAGTTCTATGAAAAACCGAATACGAGCCAAAGATCGTGGATTGATTTACAGATATCCCAGAGTATTTGTTATAACCACGACAACGCTTTCACTGTTAGTATTATTCTCTAAACCCATATATGACAGTTTTTTCAGCCCAGTGGAGTACGATTGGGAAGAAATCAAAAGAAACCACAAATCTAGATTTAGTAAAAATTAAGTATGGAAGCTGTAAAACGGGCTAAAGAACGGTATAGACAGTATCCACTTCTATTAGCAAAGTGTGGCAAGGAAGCTACAAGTTATGCTACTTGTGTTTTGAAAAGAGACAGTATTGCTATGAATGACTGTAAAAAGGAATTTGTAGATTTTAAAAATTGTTTGCAAAAAGTTGCAACCAGTTTAAAAACTAGAATTTAATTAGCAGAATGGTGTCATTGTGGAATAAGTTTGTAAATATTGATTATAAAAAACATTTGTTAATATCTATAGTTCTTAGAATAATACTAGTGATTTATGGCATTCATCATGATCAGATTTCCAAATTAAAATACACAGATATCGACTATAAGGTTTTCACTGATGCCTCACGGCATTATTTGGAAGGTAACTCACCTTATAATAGGCACACTTATCGTTATAGCCCGTTAGTAGCTATAATGTTAATTCCAAATATTACAGTACATCATAGCTTTGGAAAAGTTCTCTTTTGTAGTATTGATATTATAGTAGCACTTTTGATAAGATTAATTGTTAAAAATACTATAAAAGAGTATGAATGCTACAAACAAAAGGATTCAAAGAAGTCCAAGCTACAAGATATTAGTAAGCTAAAAAATTCAAATGGAAAGAACAGAAAAAAACTTCGGCAATCAAATAAACAACATTTAAATGTCACCAAAGCAGAGTTAGAGTCTAAAAATTATATTGATCAAACATCAGATATAGCTATGATGCTTTGGTTGTATAATCCAATGACTATAGCCATTGGTACAAGAGGAAATTGTGATACTTTTGCAGGATTTTTAGTCCTTTTAACATTATACTTTCTACAGTGTAAACGATATATATTTCTCACAGGCATTGTACATGGAATTTCCATCCATTTTAGGTTGTATCCAATCATATACAGCTTAACATACTTTATGTTTTTGAGCAAGTATTCTTTTTACACCACTGAAGATCGTAGGAAAAATTTACAAAAGCCATTAGCCATAGATGAAACTCCAAACTTGAAGAAACTTAAAAACATTGAGAATACTATTGTCCAAACATCCTCTATGGGTGGTCATAAGCTAGTGCCACAAAGCAATAAGACTGAAAAGCAAACTATCTTTAAAAAAGAATACTTGGTGTACTTAGTTCCAAATTTAGATCAGTTAAAACTGATTTCTGGTTGTCTCTTGTCATTGTCATTTCTGACATGGTATTTTTATAGTTTATTTGGCTACACTTTCCTGTATGAGACATATTTATACCATCTATTAAGAAAAGATCCCAGGCACAACTTTTCTCTTTATTTTTACCTACAGTACCTCACAGCATGGGTAAAAAACATAGGGTACTGGCAAAAGGCCTTAATGATACTACCTCAATTGGTACTCATATTAGTGTTCTCGGTTAGATATGGTTTAAATAGGTTTTCATTAAACTTTTCTATCCTTACACAAACAATAGTTATGGTTATATACAATGGTGTACTTACATCTCAGTACTTTGTATGGGTCATGGCAGTTTTACCATTGTGTATTTGGCAAATAAAGCTATCCAAGCTCATGGGAGCAGTACTTCTTTTAATATGGTACATTGCACAATGTGTGTGGTTATTACCAGCCTATTTATTAGAGTTCCAAGGCCAGAATACATTTTTGTATATTTGGATACAAAGTGTGTCTTTCTTCTGTGCCAATATTGCAATATTAGGGAGACTGATCATGTATTTTATGCCTATTCATGATAAAAGTGAGTAGTAATAAATATATTAATGACCTAGGAGTTAAATCAGATAATTGACAATTTTTTTTTATTTGATGTATTAAAACAACTGTATATAGTTGTTTTAATTTAACTTTTTAGAGTAATCTGATATTTATTTTTATCTATTTGGTGTTTGAATGAAGTAAAATACCACATTTCTTGTAAAATTACTTCTGGTGTTTGTATGATTTCACTTCTAGGTCACTGATTGTACCTTTGTAGTAGATTTGTATTTAAGAAATTGCAATAAAACACTAATTATAAAAGGTGTCTTGTTTTATTATCATTTTTACAAATATTTTAGGAATTTTAATATATATATAAACTTAAAGTACAACAGTTATTAGTATCCTTACATATTTCTTGTACTGGTTGTGGCATTTAAGACATGCTGAAACAAAAAAAAAACAGTGCTATATACTTTATACATTCAGATAAAAGAAATTAAATAGGATATATTTGACTAACCATATTCTAAATTAATTTTATATATTTCCCTACAAGGTATTTAGTTTATATATATCTAGTTAAATCTATTGTGAATTGAGTCAGTTACTCTTGTAGCATGTAACCTGACATTATCATTATTAACAAATGAAATATAAGGAAAAATTTGTAAAAACAAAGTTATTCAACATTTCATTTGTACCATTACAGTTACAACATTATATATGTTATAACATTAATAAATTATATAGTCAGCAAAATACAAGTACTCATTTTAATACTGTGTGTTGCCATCACAGTTCTGAATGATACTCATCATTCCATTTGGCATAGAACTGATCATTTTTTTTATGTCCCTTTAAGGAAAAGTGGTCTATTCCTAAACAAGAGCCATTAGAAGGTCTTCATATGTTGTTATATGATGTGCTGTTTCCAGGTCTGGCCTTTTAAGAAGATTCCATATGCACTCAATAAGATTAAGGTCTGTATTTTAAGCAGGCCAGTCCATTTTTGGAATACCAACATTTTCAACATACTGTGTTGTCTTGTGTGATGTCATATTATCTTGCAATAGCAGAAAACCACTGCCAGTAAGCCCAGCATATGGCATAACATGATGTTGTAGGATCTCTGTTATGTGTGCCCCTCTCAATCAAGAGAAAATCTGTGCGTACCTCAAAAGAAATCCCTGTCCAAAACATGACTGAGCCACCAGCAACCTGGAATGCATGCAGCATAACATTCTATAGACCTTAATTCGACTATCTTTCCATAAATTGATATTCTACACTCATCCTTAAACAATACTTTTTTCCAATTATCATGTTCACAAGCAAATGCAAGTCTGAATCTTTTGTGAGCAACAGTAAGTAATGGCCCTGTTACTGGATTGCAAGCTATTCAAACTATATTCTCTTAACCTTTATGGAACAGTAGAAATGCTGATTACTGGTACTTGGGCTTACTGAATATAGCTGTAAAGCATTCTAGCAGTTTATGTCTGGTCTTTCAATGTAGCAATTACATTCGTTTACTCTATAAATAACTTGCCATTGCCTCTAAAAATGAAGTATCAGACTTGGGATTCTGGTTAGACACCAAACAGTCATTCTCAAGCCACATCAATCAATTAACGAACAGGGTGATAAAAGTACTTGGATTTATCCAACTCACATCTTTAGAACTCACATTTAGAAGACTGGATTGTAGTCTCGTTAGGTCAATTCTAGAGTATGGATCAGTTGTATGATCCCTATCATACAACTGTTACATTAAACATATTGTAAGGGTCCAAAATAAATTTTTGAGGATAGCAGCTTTTAGGAGTGGATACTGGAAAGAGGAATGTAACTGTCAGTGGGTAATAGTGATGGGAAGACCTAGTTCGTTGCAGTGACCCGGGTCTTCTATGTAGTGATGGGACTATCGATTACTTTATACTAACGACTAATCGGAGGTAGGCGTGGTCAGCTGTCACCTGTCACTGTCAGTCTTTAGTTTGTGTTTTGTTTGATGGGGACAACCAATTAGATTAGGATAGAACCTATGAAAAAATGCTTCGGTCCAAAGTAGTCGCTAACACTAGCCTACCTGAACCAACCACAGCCGACTCTTGGTTTCCAGAATGCCTTCTCTTGATTTTTGAATGAATTTCTTGATTTACCTTCTATTCTAGAACTAATTGTTTAACCGTTTACAATCGACTAGTCAATAGTCTGAATACTAATTGATTAAACAACTAGTTGACTAGTCGATTACCCCATCACTACTTTTAGGTCATTCATTAGAATGACCTGTTCATAAAGATCCATTCATATGAAAGACTAATTAAATTTGTTGTGTAAAGGTCAAGAGTGTAGAGTTTAATATTGATATGTTTATGAATCTTTCTGAAAGTGTATGAATTAATGATAATGCAGGACCCGTTCATAGAGATTCCTTCACATTCATAGAGATTCCTTCATTAGAACAACTTTAATTATATTGTTATCCCGTAGCCGTACTGGGAAACAAATCAGTGTTTGAACAATCCTTTGTGTTCACGGTTCATGCATTAATTTGACCGAGCAACATATTACGATCACACAGTTCTTTCATAAAAACTAAACAGTGTCATTCATAGGCATGATTCATATGGTCATTCAAACGGTAGGTAGGGTCACAAAATGTGATTGTATCAATCACAGGTCTTCGAAAAGAACAGATCTTTGTGAATGGATCGTTCATGACCTTCTCATCACTAGACTGGGTAAGTAAGGTATTGATTTACCAACAGTTAAGTCAAGAAGGACATTGTTAGATTTATGTTTCCTGTACAAAGTCATTAATGCTATTAGATTGTGCTCAATTGTTATCACTCATTAGCCTTAACGTATCCAGTAGAAACAACAGACAATATTGGAAATCTTTTCAGTACCATTTCACCACACTAATTATCATCAATGAACCAAAATTTATCCAGAGTGCTAATAGAGTACAAGACAAATAAATATTTTTGACTTAAAAATTATTTTCTTTAAAAAACAACAAAAAGGTATCTTATACTAAGTCTACTATCTCTTTTGCATCAGCACTAGTCTACCCTTAATAGCTGTATTAAAGTTTGTTATAGTTTATTATTCTGAGATATTTGATATTTTAAAAAATTATTGATTTTAAGGTGTAGCTTTGTTAAAACTGTTGTAAATGGATTCCATTAATCAAAATAAATAAATAAATTCACTTTTTATTAAATTTGTTTATCCATTTTTTTGACACAAGCAATTTTTTCACCTTCTTTATTTGAGTGAGATATTATTGAAATTTTTATGCACGCTCATAATTGAAATTCCACAGTGACCAATCAACGAAAAGTGATAAATGTATTTGTATTTATATATTTATCGTCTAGGCAGAGACGATCGGTAAAAAAGACAGTCACACAAGCAAAAGCAAAAACATGGAAAGAATTTGGAGAAGAACTTCAGGAAGAATATATAACACATAAGGCAAGGAAAACGAAATGAAATAAACACAGTAAAAGATATTTCAAACCAAATACAAATAAGCCCAGAAACAAGTAGCTAGGGTATGGAAAGAATATTATGAGAAAAAATTTGATACTGAAGTGATAAAGGAAGACAATATAATCAATGAAGGCGAAGAAAACAGAGCTAGAGCAAATAAGTAGAGAAGAAGTAATAGAAAGATTATCAAATATAAAAATAGGCAAGGCAGGTGGAGATGATGAAATTGAACCAGTAATGGTAAAATACATGGAAGAAGAAGGAATAAACTATGGAAAATATATAAAGAGGCATGGGACAAACAAACAATCCCTAAAGACTGGCAGAACAATATCATCATGCCAATATACAAAAAAGGAGAACATGTAAACTGCGACAACTATAGAACAATATATCTGTCATTGGTATGCTTTAAAATATATACGAAAATAATAGAGAAGAGACTGAGACAAGAAGTAGAAATGGTATTGGGAGAAGAACAAACGGTATTTAGACTGGGAAGACAGACAAATGACAACATATATATCATTAGAAACCTAATAGAAAGAATCATAGATACAGGGGAAAAATTAGTATTAGCATTCATAACTCATTCGACCTAAGAGCAGCATATGACACGATAGAAAAACATATTATAGGGAAATGCTTGAGGAAAATAAATGTACCTAATGCTTTGATAAAATTATAGAAAGTACTTAAAAAGAGGTAAAAGAAAGGGTACAACAAACAACAGGGGAAAGATCGGAAGCATTTAATTGGAAGGGAGGTATTAAACAGGGAGATAGTCTCAGCCCTTTGCTATTCATAATAGTAATGAACACATTGATAAGAAACACTAGAGTCAGAACCAATCAACTACAGACAATAATAGGTTACCATAGATTACAACCGGTAACAATAGAGTCCTTAATGTATGAAGACAACATAGTACTAATAGCAGATTCCGAGAATAAAATGCAGAAACTAATGGATATATGGGTAGAACAAATAGAAGAACTAAAAATGGAGATAAACGAGGAAAAAAGCAAGATAATGATTATCAGGGGCAAAGGGGATAAGGAAGACAATCAAATAAAGATATAATGTAAAAACTCAGAATTGTAAATAGTAACAACTTACGAATACCTGGCAAGTATAATAACTAATGACAGAAAAATAGACTGGGAAATAACAAATAGAGCAAAGAAATCAAACAAGTTATACTATGTGTTAGCCCCAATAATGGGAAAAAGAGAACTTACATGAGAAACAAGAATAAAAATATATAACACAATAGTGATACCAACATCAGAAAATTAATTTGTTCAAATGACTTTTAAAGGTTCAGTAGCAATTTCATATCTGACAACTGGATAGTAGCACTGTATTAAATTGATATTGACTGGGCATACCCTGAGATGTAATAGGGGGGTTCTTCTGAATTTGAGATTAAATTAATCACATACTCGTTAAGGTTTCCCCTTAGCCACCAATGTCATTCAAGTGATTTGATATATCATAAACAGAGTAGTAGAGTGTGTCTTTTCTATGTTGGCATTTTCTTTTTCCTTGTCCATGTGCATCGTAAATCAGTTATTCTGAGGATGTCAACTGATATTCTTTTGTACATATATTGTTATTCTTTTCCACCCATAATTTAGTGATTCTTTTGTTATTCCATTAAAAAATTCACAAATGAACAAGAATTAAAAAATACCTTTCTATTAAAGTTGCTCTCATTTTGGATGTAATATTAGATGGAGCAGCTTCATTCAGCCTAAATACTGATTCAATAACTGTGAGTTCAGTGGAAGTAGTATCCATACCAGCAAAAGCACACCAATCATTCACTACCAATCCAGCACCTACCACTTCACTACCTCTGTTTACAGTACCAGCCTAAAACAAAAAAATAGATTATAATTACAATATAGACCTTAAAGAAATTTAAAATGATTAATTAATAAAGAAATAGGAAAAATTTCTTGAATCTTGTGATTTTAAAAAGAAATGAACTATATTAATTAAACACTTACAACTAGAGGTACTTGCAACAATGATGATAATTCTTCCTGATCAACTATAGTTGTATTAGGATGCAACAAACCTCCTTGGTTACTGAGTACACAATATGATCCCACTAATACATTACTGGCAATGGTCTGTCTGAATACTTCAACTTTTAATGTATCAGCTATAAGTTCTTCTGTTTCCTAAAACACGTTCAGTAATAATAAAATATATAAAGAATATAATATTTTCTTACTCTGTCTAAATCTGGATGAACCAGAGCTACATAATCATTACAAGCTATCACATTTCCAAGAGCAGACAACCTTTCTTCTACTCTGTGTACTTTCACTGTATCTGGTAGAGCATTTCTGATGTGTTGAAGTTCTGTATCGAATGTGGAACTTGGAACTAACAGACCATTTTTATTTCCTACACACATTCTTCCAATAATTCTACAACCTGCTAAAGAAGCATGTACTACTGGTATTGTTTCACCTAACTCGCCTTCAAATGTACTAAAATATGAATTGCGTTAAAGCATCAAAAACTACTACATTTAAATCATTCAATGTTTAGGAAAACAAAAATCTTAAATGTTGCACAACATTGTTCTTGTACTATTTACCTGTAAAAGTTTTCTGAACCTCCAATTCCCACCAGACAGTATGCATTTGTAAGTTTGGAGAAAACACCAATTTCATTATTATTTTCAAACTGGACACGTAATGCCATTTTTATAAAGAATTTAATCCGCAAAAATTCAGTAAAAGTCGGCCCAAGCAATATTACAAGTCAAAAACACGTTTTTGATCAAATATAAAGAGAAGAAAGGTGTCAAAATGTCAAAGTCATTTCTTAATATAAAAGAAGAACAAAGATTATTTAGCACTCCTTGTCGTCACTTTTGAGGTTTTAAAGAATTATCAAAAAGAAGAAGCAGTATTTTTTTAGCTAATGAGAAAAATAAATAGAACCTTGATGTAAATATTTGTGTAACTAGAATAATAATGGATAAATTAACGTTAATTTCAGGAACCCTTTTTATGGCGGCCGATATTTTTGCAATAGTTAGTTTGGCTATGCCAGACTGGATTATTACAGATGTAGGAGGTAAGACATATTTTAATAAACAGGAATGAAATTCTCATTCTTATAATTTAGGAGACACCAGGCTTGGCTTAATGTGGACTTGTATGACTCTGTATAATAGACCTCAAGTATGTTTTACTCCAGATCTTCAACCAGAATGGCTTTTAGCTTTAGTGTGTATTTTTGTTGGATGTATTTGTATCACAACTACCATTATTCTTCTTGCATCTTCGCATTGGGATAGAAATGTGGTACCTTATGCAAGATGGGTAGGATTTACAGCAAGTAAGTGTTTTTATTTAACTTGTATTCAGGCCTGCAGTAAAATTCATGTTTGTTTTAGTGGTTTTATTCTGCTTGGCTGCAGTGATATTTCCAATGGGCTTTCATGTAGATGAAATAGGAGGACAACCCTACCAGTTACCAGGCAGCCATCAAGTAGGCATCTCATACATTCTTTTCATTCTATCTCTGTGGATTACTGTGATTTCAGAATTATTTGCTGGAAAAGTATGCCTTCCACATTTTTAGCATCAAAGGGATGTTAAACTCTTATTTGTAATATTTGTGATAGTGACTGGGTATGCTTTAATCCATATAATAAGTTAAATGGATATTGTCAAAACTATATTTTAATGGATTATTTTATAAAGTCATGAAAAAATCTTTATTAGTCACTTAATAAATCACTCAAGAGTTAAAAATTTCATAAAATTGGTGATCACCACAGCAAATGACAAATCCTATACAGTTTTTAAGGCACACATACTATTACACAATATATAAAATATTTCATTATTAGATTTTAGACAGAAAATTGTAAATTACAAGTTAGATATTTGTTTTGAATTCTTGTGTGGAAGTGATTAGCCTTTCAACCAAAAGAAAGCTTATTGCAGTTTGGCTAATTATGATTTTTTCAATGGCTCAATGGGTAATTACATTCCATTTGGAAGATTTTCCTCAAATTTATATAAAACCCATGGCATTACAAACTCTAAAATTGTATTAAACCTGTAAAGTTGAAGATGTTACTGATTTCATGTAATTCTTTACTGAACTGTGATTCTCAAATGTTTATTTGTTTTTTTTTAACATAAGTTTTAGTTTTAATGACATTATTTTATCTGTTTTATTGTGCTACATGCTGTAGTCTACTAAGGTTTTGTTGCAGCAGTTTATTTTATTCAATTATAGCTCATTGGTCTGTTCTAGGATAAGAAAATTGTCTTTTATATTTGTTGATAATAAAAAGTACTCTAAATAGCTGTTTTATTTATGTACCATAGAGCAGAACTCTGCTGTGTTACTGATTAATGTAATGTTTATGTGTAAATGGTTCAACATCATTGCATCACAATTCGATACACCTACATACATCAGAAGAATGTTAATGACTTCTTTAAGATTGCACCTTTGGGCTACAAATGTTCTGGCAACAGTGTGGAAAATATTTTTGGACTCAAGTTGACTACAAGAGAACCAAGGTAAGTTTATGTTTAACCTTGATAAGCACTACATATAAAGTACATATTCATTTTTAAGAAATTTTAAATGTCAAAGGCTTATGAATCCTACATTATTCACTATTCTGGTTTTACTCTGTATAATAAACATGTTTTTAAGTTTTTGTCTTGAATTTTTTAAATTTTTCACTTTTCGTTGATTCGGATTTGTGCTGTTCTGCTGTATTTCAATTCCATTATAGGCACTAGTTCAATTATTCTTAATAACTAAAGAAAATTTAAAAAAAAAACATTGTAAAGAAAATGAGTTTATTAAAAACAATATATTTTCATATCCATAACAGGTAATCAGTCGAGTAGGAAAATCTTATATCCACTGATTGTAATATCTTATTTAAAACTGGAAATAGGTAAAAAATTACTACCTCTTCTTTTTCTAAATTGATACAGTTTCTACAATGGTCACTATTACAAAAATTTTGCAAATTTAAAAAAGGCTGATATAAATTATTAGGTATGTTGGAATGAAAAATGAAGGAAATTTTTATGAAAATTTGTCTACTTCATAATATAGTCCAGAATAGATGATTATCCATGTAACCTGCAAAATAATTTTCTCAATAAGTTCACATATATTGTATAATACATATAAAAAAGATATAATATACATTACACCAGTAAGCTGAACATAGTCAACTTTTTTGGTTGAGTAGAAAATATGTTCAACAATATTCTCATAAACTAGAGAATTATCATCAAGTGAATGAAACCATAGGTTTAGCAGTCAATACCCAACCACACACACATATCTTCAAGTAATGAAAAACCTATTTTTCAACAAACTAAATCATCCTATATTGCAAAAAAAGACACGAGGAGATAGACAAACTACAGCTGTTGAGTGTAGTAAAGATGAGGATTTTAGGAAATTTGTCACCATCTTAAATACTAACATACTATACTATAGTTAGAAGAGGGAGGGAAGTTGCCGGGAATTGACAGGAGTGACCACAGGCCAAGATCCACAACGGATTGTTGTGCCACTTATGATGATGATGATAATCCATTCCATGAATATATGACTGTTTTAAATTCGGTTTAAGGTATTGATTGAAATGATCCAATGTGCTGAATTGTTCAATAGTAAATTCTCCCCATTTTCCCATTTTTAAAATATTGTTACGACAGATATAAACCTTAGATTTAAATATGAAGTCATGATATAAATATAGAGCTGATAGTTTATAGAACTGTTGTAATTCAGATTTTGAAGTATATAATTAATATCATTGAGTTTAGTATTGTAAACAAGTTGGTTTTTGAATTAAATTAAGTGATTTAAACTAAATGTAACAATACTTAAGTGATTAAATAGTTTAATTTATTTAGTCGAATATTTAATTAGTATCAAAAAGTCACTTTTTAAAATTAAAATCAATCCGCGATATATGAAACTGTATGTAAATTTTCGTTACTTTTTAATATCTATAACGACTCGGTCGTATATCCAAACCCATACATATAAGAAAAAGCGTTCGACAGGGATGTGTGCTTTCCCCTCTTTTATTTAACATTTATTCGGAAGCCATATTTCAAGAGTCTTTGGAGGATGCAGAGATGGGAATCAAGGTGAATGGAGTATTGATAAACAACATACGATATGCTGATGATGGTGTCTTAATTTGTGACAACATAGTCGATCTTCAACAACTTGTCACTATAATCGGAGAATACAGTAAGCGAATGGGATTAGAGATTAATACCAAAAAGACGAATTTTATGATCATCTCCAGAAACTTAGATGCACTTGAAAACTCCACCATATCACTGAATACTAAGTCCATTGGAAGAGTGAGTAAATTTAAATACCTGGGATCGTGGCTTTTTGAAGACTGGGCATCAGACAGGGAAGTAAAATGTAGCATTCAGCAAGCTCGACAAGCTTTCGTAAAATTCAAGAAAGTACTGACTTGTTCAGAGTTTGATCTTCAACTGAGACTAAGGTTTACTAAGTGCGACGTATGGTCAGTGCTGCTATATGGCATAGAGGGCTGGACACTCAAAACGATGGATATAAACAGATTAGAAGCTTTCGAAATGTGGCTTTATCGCCGTATCCTAATAATACCATGGACAGCGAAAATCACAAATATAGATGTCCTTAAAAGAATAAACCAAGAACGCCAACTTTTCGAAACCATCAAGAAAAGGAAAACGGCGTATCTAGGTCACATCATGCGAAATAATAATAATAATAATAATAATAGCGTTTATTGTCCAACAGAATCCATTTATAGGACAAAATACAGTACTAAAGTTAAATGAAATATTAATAATTCATAGGTACTAACTAAATAACACATTTTTCGAGTATTTAACATAAAGAAACTACTTAATCACCTAGGTAGATCTCAGCCATCCTAGTAAGCTGCTTTAAACTGCAGTGAAATATATCGCAGTAAGCACTTAAGGAGTTATAATAGTTGCACATGAGAAATAGAGGAGAATTTAACATAAGATTAGTTCTAGCTTGTGTATTTCTGAACGTAATCGAATTTCTCACTGGATAAGATGGAACGTTAAAATTTATTTGTCGAAGAATATCAGGGCAGTCAATGAGATTATGTAGTAGCTTGTACAGGAATATTAGGGAGGCATTAATTCGTCTAGATTCTAATGATACTACGTCCAAACCGCTACACAACTCGCTATTGCTGATGCCCCTCCTGGGATATATGCCGTTAATTTTGAAAGACAAAAATTTTAAAAATTTACGCTGCACATGCTCTATAATTTGGATGTGTACATCATAAAAAGGTGACCAAATGACAGAAGCATATTCCAGTTTACAGCATACAAAAGTGTAATAAAGTAATTTAATTGCCTTAGTATTAGTGAGATTTCGACTATTTCTGAAATGAAATGAAAATGAAAATGAAATGAAAAATACCAGTTCCTCCAACTTATAATCGAGGGTAAAATTGAAGGCAAGAGAGGAATGGGATGCAAGAAAATGTCCTGGCTCCGAAACATAAGGCAATGGACAGGGATTAACGACATACAATTTTTGATACATATTGCAAGAAATAGAGAATTAATGGAAAATGTGACCCCTAACATCCATTAGTGGATTTGCATCTGAAGAAGAAGAACGACTCGGTACTTTAACTATCAATAGCTGGTATGTTCTACGCGTTACTTTCGGATTTTTTTTACATCCACTCAAAGCAAACATATTTATAACTAACAAAATGAAATATTGGATTCCTTTTCTGGTTTCTGAACCATCGTTCTGTCAATTTCTTTTCATTTATATTAAAAATAATATATTTCTTTTTATTACAGTTGTAGTACCTAATAAAGTAATAAAACAGTGTAATATCAAAGAAACCCGGCACGCTTCTTTGGTGTTTACATTTCACTGAAACCCAACCCAAATGTCTGATGAACACATTCGGCTTCATAGGCGTCATTGTATTTATTTGTAGGAGCGTTTGCGTAAAAATTTTTGTTATTTTCGGATTAAATTTCACAATAAATTTTGCATATATCTGAACATCTATTAACTGATATAATTTTAGTGTAGATGTCATACTAACAGTAGATCCTTTTTATTGGAATAATAATTAGACCAATTTATTTTCCTACTTCTACTTGCACAGTAAAATATTCCTTGTCGCAATATTTCAAAACAGTCATATATTCGTGGAATAACCTATAGACACTATTTCCAAAATAAGTATTCCCTTTTTACATAAACATTCTGCTGTACTTCAAGAAATATTACTAGTTATATAGGTGCTCATTTCTTAAAGGAAGATTTCAAACTAACAGTACTTTTAGAATGTGGTGCATTATAAATGTCACATTCTTCAGAAAATTTAGCCACTGTGTTACTCAGAATTGCTATTAAATATTCAAAATAAAATTTGATTTGCTGTCTCAGATTATGCCAGAAATATTGCAAACATAATGGTGGGAATTAGAAAGTGGTAATATTTGGGATGTTTTGCATATGCTCTAAATTTTATAAATAATTGAATAATTACACAAAGTTAGAAGATTGCTGGGATTCAAAGGAAAAATTATCTGCATATCAAAGACATGCTTAAAATTAAAGAAAATGATAAAACCTTCACAATAACTGCTTTTATGAAATGGCACAAATGTAATGAAGAATCCATGCCAATAACTGCACAAAGCATGTCTAAAAAAACCCGAGGAGTTGTCCATATAGAGTTATTTTTATTGAGATTTACTTAAGTGGTGGTAAAATCACAAATAAAATTATCAGTATTCATCTATGGATAAAAAGAGTGTGTTCTAGGATCATCAATCCCCATTTGGTGACCCCTGATCTATAATATATCAACTTATATCTATAATATATCAACAAAGTTTAAATTATGTCACATGAGTACCTATAAATCCACTGTCCCAACTAGTCTTCTGTGATTGAATTATTAATATCAAAGTAATTGCAAATATCAGCCTACTGTTTTAAAAAATAATTGTAAATGAATATTATTTGAGTCAAATACATACCAGAAACCCTGCAAAAGAAGTCATAAATCCTTCTTTTGTTAATTCCCAAGCTCCTCCATACTCATCTTCATCAATATTTTGGAAACTATTAAAGTAGAAATACATTATACCTGCATTTATGAGTGCAAATCTAAAAAATATATTAGATTATACATAAGACAAACATATAAACATTTGAAGTAATCAATATAATAATAGTAATAACTAAACTTACAGCATAAGTCCTAGGAAGCCCTTTAAAGGTATTAGTCCCCAAATTATTCCTAGTATTATGCCTAATATTTGTCTATACCAGTATATGACATCCAAAAATTCTTCCTAAAAGAGGGTAATCATTTAGTTCCATTTATTAATTAAAGATTAAGTCTCACCTTATCTGGCCATTCTGAATTTGATGTAAAAGCTCTAGTCCACACTGACGGCAAATTAGATTTTGCAGCTCCATTTCTCTCTGCTGTTTTCGGTTTTGTACTCATCTTTTCATTAAATAATTTCTATTTTCTACATATATATTTATAGATAACCTAAATTTACAAGGATATGAAAAATGTGAACTGAGGAATTTAATTAAGAATTTGACAAATCACAACATAAATTGAAACGTCATGTGATTACAAAATTACATGTATTCTTCTTTTTTGAAAGGTTCGTTCAAACTACTCTTTTTAAGTATTTTTTTTTGTTCACAGTTTTGCAAATTATTTTTCCTGACTTCTTATATTCTTCTGGTTTTAGTCTGCCCTTATCATTCCAATTACATATTTTGGCTGATTTTTGAAGTGAAAACATATAAACCTTTTCGATTAAGGGCTCGACAGGTCCTCATTATATTAAATGTCGTTTTCTATCTCTTCATCCGTCGTCTGTCCGATAATTTTTGAAAGAAAAGTCCATAGATAAATAGAAAAGTCCTGTAGTCTTGAAAGATAAATCCTATTGGTGATGTCAAACGAAAGAGTCGGCACGGTGCGGTAAAAATTTGAACTAGTGCACGTAGGATAACAAAACATTTTGTATTTGTTTATACACACATAAAATAGTTATAAACATATTAAATAAAGCAAAGTAAGGTAACAAAATGTTAAAAAGTAAATGTAAACAGTATTGTTCTGCACCACAATGCAGTAATTATCGATCGGAAGGAATAAGTATGCACTTTTTTCCTCGTGACAAAAATCTACAAGATCGTTGGGCAGAAGAATTAAAAATTGGGAAATCAATATCAAGTGGTATGATGGTGTGTTCACAACATTTTTTATCAACAGATTTTTTTTCAAGTAAGTTTGCTGAACATAATTGCAACATTTATTATATATAATGTGCCTACCTAACCTAAATAAAATTTATACACTAACATAGATTTTAATTAAAATTTCTATTACAGCTGCAGCAGGGAAAAAGAAACTTTTAAAGAAAGGTGTTGTTCCCTCTCAATGCCTTCCCAAAGGAACACACGAAAGAAAAATCAATGAGGAACTGGTGAATGCTAGGCTAATGCGTAATAAAACACGGGAATTATTAAGGTATTTGTTTTGAGTACACATATTTGCCCATAAATAAAATAATCTTTTTTTAGGACACAACTTCAGAGAGAAAATGTACATGAGGCCAATGCAGATGATGCAATTCAAGTGATTGAGTTATCTGCTGCATGCTCATCTAATTCTGTAGGTACATCAAAGGACGAAAATAATATGGAAGAACTAGATATTAATATGGAAGTAGAGAAATGTGACAAAGAAACACAAGCTGATATCTTCCAATTATTCCCAAACTTTACTATTTTGGATCATTTATTTACAAGTGAAAAAAAAATTCTTACTTGCATGGGTGTTACTGTAAATATATTCGAAGCAATAATAAAGAGCATAGAAATAATTTTACCATCTTTTCCAGATATAAAATGTCCAAATTTAAGAACAAAAGTTTCATTAACTTTAATGAAATTAAAATTAAACAACCCTTTTTTAAGTTTGGGTCTATTTTTTGGGGTGTCACGTGTGACAGCCTCAAATTATTTTTATGAAACAATTCAATTGATGTCATTTGCACTGAAACCTGCAATTTATTTTCCAACCATTGAGGAAAATAAAGAAAATATGCCAAGATGCTTTAACTCTTACAAGTCTGTAAGATTTGTTCTAGATGCAACAGAGGTTGCAGTACAAAAATTAAACTGTTTAAAATGTAGGGTCAGAACATATTCACATTATAAAAAGACACATACAGTAAAATTCGTTGTTTGTATTGCACCTGCGGGTATAATTTGTTATGTAAGCGCTGCATATGGGGGACGAGTTTCCGATAAAGCAATATTTAATAATGAAAATATTATAAAATTAGCAGAACCATTTATAGATTCTATTATGGTTGATAAAGGTGTGTTAATTGAAGAAGAATGCCTTACAAACTCAATTAAATTGGTAAGACCTCCATTTCTTCGGAAACAAAAACAGTTCTGCCAAAAAGAAGCCACAGAAACAGCTTCAATTGCCAGAGCAAGGGTGCATGTTGAAAGGGCCATTCAACGCATAAAATTATTTAGAATTCTACAAAATAAAATTGACTGGACAATGATTTCTTATTTAGATGAATGTATAGTAGTTATCTGTGCAATTGTAAATATGTCAAAACCAATCTTGGGAACATCTAAATTTTAAATCCACATTGCACCCTGTAACCATCATTCTCTTTGCATTATCTCTATGTAGGGTCAGCTTCCTAATTTGCATCTCTTCACATAATTCTATCTTGGGTCATATCAATAATAATCCCCTTTACCAACATGGCACCTAATTGTCTGCCCCTAGGTCTTCCTTTCCTACTCCTTCCAGGAATCTGCACTTCAGCAATTCTTCATATTGGTTGATTAACATCTCCACATTGAACATAACCAAACCATCTTCACCTATGCACTCTTATTTTGGCATTAATTGGTGCCACACCTAGACTTGGTGTTGCAGTTTCGCAACGATACATAAACATTTATTAAATATGAATAGTCTTTTTGTTAGTTTCTATTCTCCTCATATATTTTAAACCAGATTTTTGTGTAAGTGACACAACCGTTTTAAGGGCTAACGATTGCAAGGCGGGCCATCTGTGAAATATCAGCACATGTGTGTGTACATAAAATAAGGGTTTGTGTTCCATACAAAACAAGAGTCGAAAAGTATCTCTCAAACGATGAACATCTGTATGTGAAGGGTACCTGATTCTGCATCGGCCAAGAAAGATGCTAATATGCATCACAACTTTTGGTAGTTGAAGTGTCGCTGAAGACATAATTTGCGATAGCGTTGGGGCTATCTTTTTCATGGGATAAGAAACAATACACCATATTAATTTGTTGCTGCATATATTAAGTAGCACTTGACATATTTATTTGATATTTGGAACTTCATCGTATTTGTGCTGCAATTGAGATTGAATATTGTTAATTGGACACTTTACATTGGTTTCGGTTTATTTACTGTATTGTATATTTTTTTGTGTATTTTGTTAACACCTATTTTATTGCTTGTATGTTTTGTTTTAATAATTGTACTTATTAATTATTTGTATGCACCGCATTCTTAATTTGTTTTTCAACATTAAAATATTATATCCTTATTTAGGTTGATTTTTTTGTAAGATTATTAATTTATCTTTTATTTTTTTATGTATAGTATGTTTGCGGTTATGGTAGGTTTTGTCTTTTGTTTTGTCAGTGGTTTTTTATAGAATCGACATTTTTGTTTTGGTTGGTTTATGGTTGTCTTTTGGTGTGTCTGTTGGTGTTTCTTAGTAGCTAATAGTTAAGTTTGTAATATATTCTTCTTTAATTATAATGGTATATTTGGTTATGTATAATTTTACAGCTGTAGAGTTTTATACAGTCCGCTGCCTTTCATTTCTCTTCTTTTATTTGAATATACATACCCATTTTAAAAGGGGGAAACCAGCGAGTTCTAGATTGAACAGAATATCTCTTCCCCTTCAGGATGACCTTAATTGTTATATTGAGGTCATCATATGTTTATTTTTATATTGGTATATAGTAACAGCTTTAAAATAAAACTGCCAGATATCAAACAATTAGTATCCTTGTATAGTAACTCAGTGGAGTAAAGCATGGATTTGCGATTAAATTGATTTTAAAATTTTTCTTTAGACGACATTTAGTTGTTCCAAATGATTGACATACGCCCCACCCCAACCAAGTGTTCTTAAAATGGGCTGTACTAAAATATTTTTAAGTATTTAAATTTGTAGAGTAAACTTTGAAGGTTTTTTGTCACATTTGCAATATGTAGGTTCTATTGTAAATGACTATCAATTGTAATTCCCAAATACTTTACAGAATGAACAGACTGAATGCCAGATGTTATCCATTTTTTCCATTTTACTTCATTCCTTCATATATTTTTTTTTTTTTTCATAAGCACATTCTTTTATTTTATTTTAAAGTGTTACAATTTTAGTTTCTTAATAGTTCTCTTAATTTGTTGTAATTAATGTAACTAGTCTTAAATGTATTAATATTTGTTTTACCAATGTTCATATTAAAGTTAAGTTCTCCTATTGTATAGAAGTGATCAGTAGTAAAATGTAAATATTAAATATATTATTGTATAATATTATATATTTAGTTACTATTAGGACATTTACATTATGTAAATATATTAAATGTCATAATAGTAACTAAAGACAAACTGCTAAGTAAGACTTTAGATTATAAAAAGTTAGTTAGTTTAGGTTAAAAATAGATTACTTATTATTTGATCAGTAAACAAATAGCTTGTTCTTTATGTTAATCAAGCATAAAAAAATGTACCATTTTGGAATAATAATGATATAAAAACAACCAAGTGTTTTATTGATGGTATGTATTTAGGAAATAATATATCATACATCTTCGTAGTGGAGCAAAAGGCACATCAGTGTTTCAGTAGCAAAATAGTATAAACAAAAGATTTGATGGTAAGGTTGCTAGCCTCACCAATCATTGCTTGAGTCCCATCTTGAGTGTTAAATTATCCAATCTACTATGAAAAGCATAGCTCTTTCAGTACATTGGTTGTAAAGGAGTCTTATTGTCCTAATATATTTGTCTGATATTCTGTAGTGTTTCAGTATATTCCAGATCATGTTTCAGTTAATCAAATCAAACACTTTTTCAAAGTCTTTAGAATTAATAAAAAGTTCTTTCCCTTTTATTTTTGTAGCTTCCTTTAGTCTTTTTGTTATTGCGTGTAGCATCTGTGTGTTATTTTTTGCTCTATGTGCAACCTTTTGCCTAGTCTAGCTCGTTTTTTACTTCCCTGTTTTTTTCTTTGTAATCTTCCTCTAGTACTCTTCATCTTATGGGTAGAAAATAATGGATAAAATAAAAACTCAATAATTTATTATTTTTATTTATTAATTAACAAGTCATCTTTATTTTTTACCAATAATGGTAAATATAAATCAAAATAAATTATATTTAATGTATTAA